CATTATGCAGTTTTCTCCAACCTCCTGTCACTTCACCTCTCTTCGGTCCAAATATTCTCCTCAACACCCTGTTCTCAAACACCCTCAGTCTATGTTCCTCCCTTAATGTCAGAGACCAAGTTTCACACCCATACAGAACCACACGCAAAATTATAGTTTTGTATATTCTAATTTTTATGTTTTTGGACAGCAGACGAGAAGACAAAAGGTTCTGGACTGAATGGTAGCAAGCATTACCAGAGTTCAATCGCCTCTTAATTTCCTCCTGATTAAGGTTTCGATCTGTTATCGTTGTTCCCAAATATCTTAACTGTACCACAGTTTCAAAACATCTGTTTCCTATCTTTATGTCATGATTTTGCCCTGCATTCTGGTGACGAGACAGCAACATATACTTAGTTTTCTCAGTGTTTACTTCTAGACCAACCTCTTTACTTNCAAAGTTGAAAAGGAGTGGCGATAAAGCATCTCCTTGTTTTAGACCATTCTGGATAGGAATTTTATCAGACAAATGTTTACCTATACGGACTTTACTAGACGTTTCGTTTAACACATTCTAATCAACCTAACTAGTCTCATGTGTATCCCAAACTCTATCAGAATATTGTACAATACTTCCCTCCTAACTGAATCATAGGCTTTCTTGAAGTCTATGAATAGCTGATGTACTGTCTCATCGTACTCCCATTTTTTCTCCAGTATCTGACGAAGGCAAAAAAATCTGATCTGTAGTTGATCTGTTACGTCGCAACCCACACTGATGATCCCCAATAATTGAATCTATAAATGGACTTAACCTTGAGAGAAGAATATTGGATAAAATTTTGTATGAAGTTGATAGCAGTGATATCCCCCTATAATTACTACAGTCAGTTTTATCACCCTTCTTGTGATCTGGTACAATAACAGACTCCTCCCACTGATCAGGCAATTTTTCCTTATGCCAAATAGAAGTAATTAGATTCTGGATCTTAGAACGTAATATTTCGCCTCCTGCTTGAATAAGTTCTGCCGGAATTTGATCACCACCTGGCGATTTATACCGGTTCAATTTTGCAATAGCACTTTCAACCTCAAAAGGGCTAGGATCAGGTACTAACGGCTCAGCTGTATGGGTTTCTGTCTGCCTAACAGCACTGACCCTATGTACATTCAATAACTGAGAGTAGTAGTTCCCCCACCTGTTCAAAATGCTGTGGGAATCTGCAATCAGATCACCATTCTCATCCTTCACTAAGTTACTGCTAGGCTGGTAACCCCCCTTAAAGTCATTTATTCCTCTATACAGGTCTCTAATGTTCTTGTTCTTACTGTTCATTGCAAGCTCATCAATTTTGTCTTTCAGATATTCCCTCTTTTTGTTCCTGAAATGCCTGCTGGTTTCACGTCTTATATTGTTCAGATTATCCACCTTTAACTCGCTTGGATCTTGTAACCATTGCAATTTGGCCTGCTTTCTTTGATCTGATAATTTTGAGCATCCTTCATCGAACCATGGCTTATGCTTCTTCGGTTCATAATAACCTAGACTCTCTTTGGCAGAGATTTTTATATTCTCTCTAATAGTTTCCCAAGCTTCATTAACATCCACCTCAGTTTCTAAGTTTTACAAGGCCGCAAACCTATTTGAGATTTCAACACGATACTGCTCTTTACCCTCTACGTCATTTAATTTCTTGAGATTGAACCTCTCCATATGAACTCTGTGTGTTGTTTGTTTGTTTGCCCACTGCCAGTCTTTCCCTAACCTTATGTCCAAGTAAATTTATGGATGTTACGATGTGGGAATATTGTACTTTTGACGGTAAGATTTTTTGATGTCGTTACGTTATATACTGATCGGAAATTGACAACTTTCTGATTAGCACTTTGTATACTCTCGTGTATGATTTTTAATTGGTAATGTTCAGTGTGGGTGAATATGAGGACTAGTCCATTTTTTAATTTTATACAATAACTACACGTAAACAGTTAGGCGTACTAGTAGTAGACAGCTATGTGTACTGAAACTCACAATGTGAGACTCTGTGTTGACACTCCGAAACCCAGTGGTGTTTCTACCGGTCCGTGAATCAGCAAAGGCTGAGACAAGCATCGCATCCACGTGCTTGCACGTTTTGGGGTGCTGTCTAGCACAGCTTCCGGCATCAAATCACTTTCCTCCTATTTATTTCGAGACAACAGGAAGGGTCTACTTTGTCCTCTAGGTACAAGTATGCTCGTTCTTTTAATGTCGCGATCAGGTGTACACCTCCTGCTTCTTACTGCGAGACCGGGCATCATAACTACGGTTCTGCCTGCTTTCTGGAATCACATTAAGTCACGACTGTTTCCGTTCACACCCTTTTCACTTCGTTATTCACTATCATCCCAGCACCTGCGACTATAACATGGGCAGAAATACTGTCAGCCTTGGTAAACAAAATATAAATAAATAACTAAAAAATGAGACGGGAATTTCCCTCTGTGGAGAGCTTCAGACAGGTTACTGGCTGCGAGCAGTCTGCAACGGGGGGAGGAATGACCCAACCAAGGTCAAGCAGCACCAGGAACACTGTCTGCAGGCATGGCTACCGAATTCTAAACTCACCAGGCCTGTGCACCGAGTAGGTCGTCGGTATAACGTTGCATGTTGCATGTTACACACATCGCTGCCACCCGACGTCTGGTTCAATGCATCTACTGAACAACTGAAATTCCTCACTCAGGTTGAATGTATATTTTGGTAGTCTTTATTCTAATACAAGGGGGCACGCAGCACCGTAGTTGGTTGAGGCACTATGCTACAAGCCGGATGGTCGAGAGTTCGAGTCCCGATGAGATGCATTTCTTTCAATTGGCATAATCCTTCCAGCCGCACTATGACCCTGGGTTCGACTCAGTCTCTAACAGAAATGAGTACCAGGAATCTTCCTGGGAGGTAAAGGGCGGCCGGCGCGTAAGGCTGACAATTTTACCGTCATCTGTGAGCCGATTGTCTAGAAAATGTGGGAGCCTCGACGTCTCACAAACCTATGGGTCTTCACGGCCTCTTACAGGGATAGCTTTACCTTATTTTATTTTAATACTTCTGAGTTTCGACTCCTAAAATTAAGGTATTTTTTTTAGCTTCTTGGGGTGGGGTGAGACCAAGTCCACTTGGTACTTCAGCCACTATTTGGTCTACTGCACCAGCCAAGGATGATTGGTGATGATGAATATGGAGCAGTCGGTGGAATGAGAACTTCCATGGGAAACCGAAGTATTAGGAGAAATCCAGCCCCAGTGCCACTTCGTCCACCACAAATCCCACATTACCTGACCTGGGATAGAGGCCCCGGGGTACCGCCGTCGGGAGCTGGCGACTAAACACCTGAGCTATAGCGCGGTCTTAAAATTAAGGTAGGTCTACAGATGCATATAATAGATTTGTTAACAAAAGGCTGCATGAAAATGGCTCATGATTGTATATGGAATAATTTCCTTCCGGCTAATGAGACTCAGTTGAGAACAAGATATCATTACTTTGCAAAAGTGATCTAGCTACAGGGGCCAGGGTCCTTTCGAGATGCTAACAGAATCTGTCAAGAAATTACTCGCCATTTATTGAACTCGAAGGTTAATCACCGTTCACAAGGTCCGCCACTTGTGTTTATCCTGTTTCAGATTAATTCAGTCAACATCGTCACCCCTATTTCATTATGATCCATTTGAATATTTCCTCTCCCTACCTGCGCTTATGTCTTGCAAGTCGTCTCCCCCCCCCCTTCAGTAGTGCGGACTAAAATTCTGTGTGCATGTTTCATCTTTCCCATGAGCGTTTAGAAGCTCTGCCTGTCTCCTCTTTTACAGTAGAGGGCTCCACCAGGTTACAGGAATTTAAATATAAATATGTAAATTAACCGTTCAAAGACTGAATTTCTTCTAAATAATATTGTCATGTGTAGAGGTTGTGCGTGACCTATAGACGGGGGTTTGGATTGGATTTATTGACACCTTATACATTCAATTCGGGACTACACGTAATACAGCGCTTTCGCTGATGTGCATAATTTACCGTTACACACGCACTAGGGTTCTCAGTCTTCACCAGACGGATTTATAACAGTCTCACTTAGGGTTCCCAGATACTCCGTTTTCCCCGGATTCTTCCGTGTTTTCACCCAAATTTTGTTCCTCCGTTTATTGTTTACCCGGAATGGATAATTCTCCTTTTTTTATTTAAGTCCATTGCGAATTATATTTCATGGGTTAAATATTATCATAAAATCTCTGTAATCCTTGGAAAATGACACTGTTATAGTCTATTTCATTATGTTGCATTTCGTGAATGTTGGCAACACTTGAGGTTCTAAACCAAAGCAGCGGTTGTTGGTGATAGTGTATTTTAATCCGTTCAATCCTCGCTAGAAAGTCAGTGTCAAGTAAGCAAAAATGTTTGAGGGCGAAGAAGATCCATCAGACTCCTCCATGGAAGAAGTTGAAATTCCAGGCCAAAATTAATCAAATATATCTTAAGAAATGGGAAGATATGTTTTCATGGGTTAAGCCAGGACCAGATGAGAACCGGGCATATTGTACGTTGTGTAGGAAGGATTTTAGTACTTCGCACGGTGGACAAAGTGACCTGAGGCAACATGCACAATACAAGGGGCATAAAATTAAGGAAAAATGTAATTCTGGAAGTTCAAATAAACTTTCGAAATACTTTGTTAATTTAAAAAATAAAGAAGAATATGACAACAGCACCGCGTGCAAACTTGGTTTAGTGTATCATGCAGTGAAACACAACTTAAGTTATTCCAGTCTGGACTGCGGAAATAAACTTGTGTCCAATATTTTCAGTGATTCCGAGATTGCTTCCAAACTTTCATATGGACGCACTAAAGCGGAAATGATAGTGAAGTACGTTCTTGCTCCTAAGAGCGTAAATGACTTTGTGTCTATTTTAAGATGTCCAGAAAATACTTCAAAATTTTTTTTCGTTGGCTACCGATGCATCAAACAGAAGCAATCGAAAAATGTTCCCTGTTTGCATCCGGTACTTCGACCCTTTAAAGGGAGTGCAGAATAAACTTCTAGATTTTGTTGAAAGTGCTGACGAAACGTCTATGGCAATTACTGGTTTGGTGCTGCAGAGCTTAGAAAAGCACAACTTGGATGTAAATTATGCGTCTTCTTATTGTGCAGACAATGCCAATGTGAACTATGGAAAAACACATTCCGTATATCAGTTGCTGCGAAGTAAAAACCCAAATTTACTGAAAGCTAATTGCTCTAATCATGTCATACATAACACAATTAAGTTTGCAATTGACAGATTAGATGTTGATGTTGAAAGTGTAGTCTTAAAGATATATAATCACTTCTCTGTCTCTGCCAAAAGAAGAGAAGAGTTAAAATCATTCTTTGAGTTTCTGAATTTGGAGTGGACTGAGATTTTGAGGCATGTTCCAACTAGGTGGCTGTCATTAACACCAGCCATTTCTCGACTGCTTCAGAACTGGGAAGCAATGAAAAGTTACTTCAATAGTATTCCCAACTGTCCAAAAATATTATCTAACATTTTCATGAAAGATGACCCAGAGGAAGCAGTGTTGCCTGAAATCTTCTAATTTCTTAAGTAATATTTGAAGTCAGCTGGAAATGGTAGATAAAACACTGGAAAGGTCTGACTTAAGTGTACTAGAGACTTACAAACAAATGAAACTTCTCAGTTCTAAAATCCAGCAGAGAAGGAAAGACAACTTTTTTGGTAGCAAAGCAAAAGAACTCATTAATGGATTGTCTATGCCATTACAGAAAAAGGTTACTGAAGACCTGAACAGCTTTTTTAGCAATATGCTTCAGTATCTGCAAAAAAGATATGATGTGAGAGATGACAATCCCTATGCATCCCTTGCAGCATTTCCTCTACAGGAAGGGATTGAGTTCAAAGATTTTGAAAAAGCCATAGAAGTGATTCAGCTAAGTGAAAATGTTTGCATTGATGACCTGTACGAGGAGTTCACTAGCCATCGAGATTACCTCTGCAACAGTGTGAACAGATATGGTGATTATGTAGCAAACTGGCTTACACTTCTTTCTTCAGTACCTGAGCATGATGTACCAAATATTTCCAAAGTGGTAGGAGTTTTGTTTAGCATCCCTGGCTCAAATGCTTTTGTGGAGCGAATCTTTTCATTCATGAAAAGTAAGTGGAGTGACACAAGACAGATGCTCAACAGATTTAATCAAGGCAGAACTCCAGGTGACAGTGAACTATGAAAGCAAGTCCTGTTCAGAATTTTATAAATTTTCGAAGGGTGATGTTCAATTATTAAAAAGTGCTAGGAGTTCAGTGAAATACAATTAACAGAATCTGATCGACCAGCCCTTTAAAGTTATAAATATGTAGTATTTAATATTTGTGTTCTACAAATATTTTGTGCATTCTATAAATATATAATAGGGCTACGTAATATTTGTTTTGTTCTATAAATGTGTAGTAGGCCTATGTAATACAGATGTGTAGTAGGATTTTGTAAGTTATGTAGTATGTTGATTATGTATATTTTATAGCCTATTAGCTGTGAAAAATATCGTTATAAACAAGCAACGAGAATCACTCGTTTTTTTATTTTACAGAATCTGGCAACCCTAGTCTCACTGTCACTGCAGCACACATGAAGTCTTCTTTGCACAGTCTAATTCCTGTCCCGCCATTTCTTCCCAGTCACCTTCGCCTGCAACTGTCAACTCCGAAACTCGACTCAATTCCACTTCCTCTGCTCTCAACATCATGTCCTGGCAGGCTCAAACGATCTTCTTTGTTCTTCTTACAACTCCTGGGCAGAGACCACGCAGAAAACACAGCCTCTCTATTGTTGAGAAGGCGTGTTTATAGCATCGTTGTATAACAACGGAAGTTACTGGACTATTGGCTGCGTATTCGTTGCCGCGGGAATGTGTTTACCGAGCAGTCGACTAGCAATAAACGTCTCCTGTGATTTCAGGATTCCGGCTTTCGGGCGTCATGTCACAATATACACAAATTTAGTTTGTACCTCGCACGGATGTTATTATGTCTCCGCTACAAAGACCAACCGGCTAATGCTGTTAGGGAAATGACCGCTATTTATTTTGGAGAATTAAGAGAAAGACATAAATACACACTGTGAACAGAATGCACGGTTGTTCTATGTCGAGGCAGGTGATGCTTATGGTAACCACTGGGCTTTAAACGGTTAAGCAGGTAATGGGAGTAAACAAAGGAAATCAACAGAGAACACAGCCTACTGCAGATTTTATATGGAACGGCCAAGTTCGTCGAATACGTGATAATTATTAATTAAAGAGAATCTTCGACTGAAAGTCTCAGAAAAGGTAGAAACGCAGACGTCCAAAAAAGATATGACAGGGGTGACGTTGATCCATCCATGGACAACATGAAGGAGATTCTGAGAAGGACCGAAATCTGCGCAGCCGCTGAAGTTTGATACCAGGAGATATGAATGTTCTTGCGCTACCCACCCGTACTGGAAGGGGGCTCTGCACGAAGGCCTTCTTCGCGCGCTCTTCCAAGCAGTCCGTTGATATTTCAGTGTTTCTTGCGGCTTGACCCTGTTACAGAACTATATATATATATATTTGGGGGGGGGGTTATATATCGATGCTTCTTACAAAGTTTACAGAGCGTTAAACGAGACAATAACAGTGAAAGATGACTATGGAGGGAAACAAACGTAATCAGTCTCAAGTTAACTACGACAACGTTTGCATATTACGCGAAGCTCTTGTCAAGACAGCCGGCCTCTTAACTGAGGTTCGAATCCGAAACAGAACTAGTAACCGGGGGCACGCGGTAACGTAGTTGGTTGAGACACCATGCTACAAACCGGAAGATCGCGGGTTCGATTCCTGAGGAGCTAACTGGATTTTTAATTGGCCTAATGGTTCCAGCCGTACTATGGCCCTGGGGTCGACTCAACCTCTAACAGAAATGAGTACCAGGAATCTTCCTGCGGCTAAAGGGCGGCCGGCGCGTAAGGCTGACAACCTCACCGCCAATTGTGAGTTGATTATCAAAAAAACTTGGGACCCTCGACGTCTCACAATCCTATGAGCCTCCACAGCCTGTTACAGGGCTAGCTTTACCTCATTTTTTTTTTGGCTCGTCTGCGACGTTCAGTGAATTTTCAAGTAGGAAGACAACAAAGAAAGTAAATTAGATAATGCGTGATGCTGGGCCTCCAGCAACGAACATTAAACCTTTGAGGTGAGATAAATCTCTGGTATCGTACGATGATTACGGTTAAATCGCTGAACAAACGCGGACAAAACAACGAGCTGCGGCCACCCACCACTACTGCACCTAGTAGCAGCGCTCTGCCTGTACCCACCATGTACATGTGCAAGCAGCCGGGACTGAAACAGCTCACTTACACTTGCGCAACTATTATGGGAAAACATGCAAACGGTTTATTTATTCATAACTGCACTCCACACAGTTCATGACAGCAAAATATTACCTTGGAAGATTAGGCAGAAAGTCAGGAAGATCCAAATACAGAATAAAACAGATCAGAAATGTACGCATTGCGTAACATTTGAGGCGCGTTCAGATATTTCACTTTGATATTTTGTTCACTTAGTTTTTATTTTTCTAATTTTCTCTCTGTCTCATGCATACAAAATGCTCTAGTCTTTTTTTTAATTCTCTTCTGAATTATTAATAAGACAAATAAGCGAGAATATCCTCGATCGGTTAGTTACTGTCAGGGTCTCCTTTGTGAATCTATGGTAAGCACTACGCCAAGAAGACGTAAGGGGAAATGGATGTATAAATCCTCGGCACTAGTTGGAGGTGAGTGGTCAGCTTCACGTCCCTGCCGCTTTACCTCCGAGGAAAGAGCCCCCCAGTACCCATTGGATAGGAGGTTGGGTGGGCCCCAGAGCTGGTTTGGACGACGTGGAGAACAGAAAATTCTTGACCCTACCGGGACTCGAAATCCGATACTTGGCCGTCCAGCTGGCAGCTAGCCGCCAAACCGACCGAATGAACTTATAACGAAAGATGTTTCATTTCAGAGCAGATATCAGCCAAATGTCATTAAGTTTAAACTGTGAGAATGTGGTGTCATGTTTTATTTAGACAGGGAACTGCTGTGAAATCAATTAACGGGATGTCCATGGCTTCGCTCCCATGGCAACCCCAGTGTGCTCTCACCAACAGAGAGGAGAGCGATACAGTGAGATACAAAAGCGTCAGTTATTCTTGTCCACTTTTAACCAAAACTGAGTTATATCGACAGATTTTAGTAAAACTCCCCGACGTAAACATCACGAAAATTCATCCAATTGGAAGAGTCCCTTCATACGGACAGACAGACTAACAATTTGTAGGTGTTTTTGGCGATTTTTGCTAACACGTCTAATAAAGTTTTAATGATAAAATTGAATACGACTCCCTTATCAATCCATATTCGCCAGTTGATAACACTGAAGTAATCTCAGTCTATCTATCTATGGCTCTACAGCCATTGTGGACCTTGGCCGCTACATACACACAGAATATGCGCACACATATATCAATATCTCCAGTGGGATTCGAACTCACGATCCCATTGTTCGAGGGAGCGAAGACGGTTCATGCCTTAAACAGTGCGGCAACTGTTACAATCAAGTAAGCTAAACGAATATTGAAACATGCAAATGAACCTCACACTTCTGTTTCGTAAGCACAAAAGCATATCTGCTTACATAAGTTTTACTCAATCGCATTCTTTAAACATGCCATTATATTTCCTTGCAAGCAGAATGCAGGGCAAAATCACGACACAAAGGCACGTAACAGATCCTTTGAAAATGTGGCACATTTCAAATAACTGGGTACGACAGTAATAAATCAAAATTTGATTCAGGACGAAATTGAGAGGAGACTGACTTCGAGTAACGCTTGCAAACGTAAAATTTAAAGTATATGAAACTATAATTTTGCCAGTGGTTCTGTATGGATGTGAAACTTGGTCTTTGACTTTAAGAGAGGAACACAGACTGAGGGTGTTTGAGAACAGGGTGTTGAGGAGAATATTTGGACCAAAGAGAGATGAAGTGACAGGAGGTTGGAGAAAACTGCATAATGAGGAGCTTCATAACTTGCACTCTTTGCCAAGTATAATTAGAATGATCAAATCAAAGAGTATGAGATGGGCAGGGCATGTAGCAAGGCTGTGGGAGAAGAATACTGCATATAGGATGTCGGTGCGAAAGCCAGAAGGAAAGATGTAAACGAAGCCGGAGATGGGTGGATAATATTAAAATAGATCTGAGAGAGATAGGATGGGATGGTACAGACCGGACCGATTTGGCTCTGGATAGGGGACCAGTGGAGGGCTCTTGTAAACACGGTCATGAACATTCGGGTTCCATAATATGATGGGAAGTTCCTGAGTGGCTGCATAAGTGGCAGCTTCTCAAGAAGAGCTCAATTCCATGAAGTTAGTTAGCTATATATATATGTGTGTGTGTGTGTGTGTGCTGGAGTGTGTATTTATATTTAAAACATTTCTGTTCCGTGCAAACACGTTCCTACAGAAATAAAATGCTGATGGACATTTTTCAAACTTTTAGTGGA